GCGCGTCCGCAGCGGCGCCGAGCGCATGCGCAGCACTCGCCGCCCGCCCTTGGGCCCGAGCATGCGCGGTGGCGTGGGAGGCCGGCGCCACCGTTACTCGCCGTCCCCTCACGGGACAGGTGGGCGGTGAAGAAGCATCAGTTGACAACGGGGGTCGCGGAAAGGCACGAGGCACCAACTCACAGCCATTAATATGCCCTCCAGAACCAACACGAAGAAGACGGCATAGTCCCACAACGTTAAGACATTTTTTTTTTCCCCATAGGCAAAACTTTGTTGGCCACATCCCAGATGTGCCTGTCATGGCAGATCTGTCTTAACTAGGCAGTTACCAAGGTGACCCTTCAGTGCTAAACGATAGGGAGAGAGGCAGGAGAAATGCTGACTCTGTACGATGCTCCTTCGCCATCAAGCAGATCAATGAGCCACAGCTGCTTACACAGCTTTGAAAACACAGGCAGTGTTTCCCATGCCTTAATGTTCCAGTCTGTGGCAATCCATCAGCTTTGGCATCTTGTAAATGGAGGAGGAAGGGTTAGTGAGCAGTAGGTTTTGAAGACAGAATTCCTTTACTACAGAAGCAGTCAGAAGGGTTCTGGGAAATCCTCACATGTCCTTTTTCTCTGCCCACATGTTCCTTTCTATCTCCTCCACAAAGTCTTCATAACAGAGAGTGCTGTGGTTGAGTTAATCAGCTCCCACTCTGGAGTGCTTTGCTAAGGTCAGGTACATCCTGACATGCATCAGTATTGCCTGGCATAATGCTTAAAACACAACTTCTTCAGTATGAGGAGTAGCATAAACAGTTAAATATTGACTTTAAGGAAAAAAAAAACCACACACACACACACACACACATCTCAACACCAGGGACCAGCACTTAGGACGCTGGCTCACAGCAAGCTCAGCCCAAGCCCAGGGGGAAGGTTCTGGGATCACGTGTCTTGTTACTAGAGCAAAATAGTGCTTATAGGAACTGTATAATTGCTGATACGGAAGAGTATAAAAATAGATGACACCGTAGCCGCAATAAAGCGCATTAGTTATTTATGCATTCAGTACAAGGCCTACACAGGCAATTGAATTTGGGAGGAGAGGAGACAGAAATTACAGGGTAAGCACATCTTCGGAGAGTCTACTCAAGTAATTGCCTGAGATTTGGCAGTGTCTCTCGCTCTCTGGATTCCAGAATCAATACCTCATTGCAGTAAGAGGTTCTCACCTTCTACGGATACTGCTTGAGGCTAACAAATGGCTGTATTAGTTAATACTAAAGCCACAGCTTCCAAGCACTTCAAATGGACATAAACCAGTTCTTTTTAGCGGCCATGTCACTATTCTCTCTTTCCCGCAAATCTCTGCCTCCTTCTTACCTCCCTGCCACTCCTTCCTTCAGCTTCCTCATGCTGCTATGTTGTGTCTACACCCAGAAAAAGATCTGGTTAAATAAAGGATTAATTGCATGATCTTTTTTTTATAGAAAGGACAAAGAACTGTCTCAGGAACAAACTGCRGGAGCTAGAATGGGTGAGAAAAGTCAAGGCTGCATCTTTTGAGAGCTCAAATGCTAAAAGCATTTGTGATGCCAGGATGTTACAGCAGAATCGAGAGTCCTTCCTTACAGGCAGGAGAGCTAATGCTCTGCGTAAAAATCTTACACTGCATGTTCACGTGCACTGAGCAGACAGCATCAGTCGAAGCTCTTCCTGGCTCTGACTGCTGTGCTCCTCTGCCTTCCCATGACAGAAGTGAACATTTGCTCCCATCTCAGCAATCCTACTTCCTCCCAATATAAATGCACCATCACTATGAGGCTGATGCCAAAAGACATGAAGAGCCAATAGATTTAAGGAGCACAGTCTCAACTACTGCCACAAAATTCACCACAGCTTTCCAGCTAGAGCCCTAAATCAGATCTGGAGATCTGGACACTGTTGGGGATACAGCAACCTATTCCTTTACCAGCACAAAGCAGGAAAAAAATGTKAACTTCTACAGGAATATAAGCAAAGGTGCAAAAAGACAATTTTAAGAGACAACATCTAGAGAAATTGTATCTACACCCACTTTCAAATTAAGAGCGATAGTAATAGCAAATATCTATATATACACCCTATAAATATATATAAAAAAAATCCTCTTTGTTTTACTGGCTCTTTTAAAAAAATCTAATTTCTCTAATGAGAGACTCCCTCCTTCCTTCCTTCCTCCAGCAACTATATATCTTACTCAGACTGGGATCTCCCGTCATGCATAGGTTTTTTGCATTTCAGGCTGCATTCCTGTTGCCCAAGGCATGCAAGTTTAGCACGAGAACAAACTAAAAGCAGTCAGCTGGTGACCCGAGTATTAATTCTTGAAAGAAAACTAAGTATGCAAAAAGCATATGCAGTAGTCATTCAGGTACTAAGCTACTTCTCTAGACAAGGGGCCCTGCAGATGGGACTGGGCAGCAGTACTGCGAGGTTCGTCTGCTCCAAACGCATCAGCTAAAGCTTACGAGGCAACTCATTTACCTGCCATACTCAGTAGTCCAGAACATGAATAYTGTTGACTTTGCTAATAAGATTATTACCCTTATGTCTACATTACTCAGTCATTTAATACAAGTCAGCTATTGAAGATGTCAAGAATAAACTAGGAGATGCAGATTAGAAGTGTATGGAAATTACACTGTCACATACAATGGTTTCTTAAGGTTATCCTGGATATTTCACACAACTATTCAAAATAAACTGCAATAAAAGCAACTCATCTCATATTTATTCATTTGCATGTTGGGGCACCATACTACAGACTGCCATTACAATGACTATCCTCCCTTTAGCAAACACAACAATGGCTCTTAACCCTTAAACACTGATTTTTTTTTTTTTTTTATAACACAGACTTTGTATTACAATGCATAAATATCCTGGATAATTAATGTTGTACCCAAGATAAAGGATATCTGTAAATCACACAACAGCTATAGTTTATACAAATTCCCCTTCATGGAACCACACCAATTCATAAAGTTCTACACTGCATATTCRTATGTACACTGTGCAGTATAGCACGGCAGTTGATAAGCATCCTTTTATCAGTCATAAATATCTAGTAATAGGTAGGCAGAAAAAATAAAGCTTTAGGCACACATTAAAGAGATTTCTAACAGAAGGGTAAATGCAACTGTCATTGCAACAGTTCTACTTTTTACTCATTTCAACTGTACCGTGCAGGAAATGTTTAAGTTTCAGTGTGTTTGATCAATAAGCCGTCTTGATCCTTTATAAAGTTTCCTATGTCCTTTTCTATAGTTGCATTTATCTCCCTTGTAAAATAAACAAATGTAATTTTTCTCTGAACTTCAGCTACCCAAGTTTACCCGGGTCAAGGATGTTTTTGTTACTATACCCGTTTTTTTTTCCTTCAGCCTTTCAGTGCCCTTCACTCAAAGGCTGTTGTTAAAACTACATAGGAAGAGATTTGCTAAAGCTGATTTTCATCTGCGATACTGACAACTGAAAACTAAAGCCTTCGTGTTGGCATCTGAGACACCACTTAGTCTTTGTGAGGTGCTGCAAAACTTCAAAAAATAATGTGCATTGCAAACAGACCAAAAAGGGGAGGAACAAAATAGGGCCTCAGTTCTGAGAATTAAGCCTTTCCTTCTCATGATAGATTTTAAAAAACCTGATACCATTGTAAAACCATTACAGCAAGACCATTACTATCCTAATATCTAATATAATGTGATGTATGTTTTAATATTCACAGCAAGCCTCAGCACACAGGACACATTAGTATTATGACTAAATAATGACTGCAGAGAATGGAGAGAACACTTTAATGTTTTCCTGTCTCCTTTCAAGGATACATTTTCTATATTCTTACACCCTTCTTTCCTCTAGAGTATTCTGAATATACTGCTGCGCTAAGCCACAGTGCATTATGATTCCTCACATGCTSGTTATTTCACCTTCTTGCCATAAAAAGCAAAGGCAGGAAAGTACCTCTTCTAGCTTAGATATGCTTAAAACATCCATTGCTTTGCCTGGAAGTTGAAGAATAAAAGGTCAATRAGCATGCCTTGTGCAAGCAGGAAGATTTGTTATGGTTCTTGCTTGTGGAGGAGTTTATTCATTAAAAACTGCACACGTCTCCCACACAGGAGATAGCCAACCCTTTCAGTGTTCCCTTTCACAGGCTTTAATGATGCATTTCATCACCCTTATGCATAAACTTTGCAAACTCCAGCATAGTTAAAGAGGACATCTGTAACAGTATGATATAATGATTTTCGTTTTTATGTTGAATTTCTGCAGAGAATAGCCCTGGGATATACTAAAAGTCATTTGGTTTTATGAAACTCTGTTTTGCCTCAAATCTACAGTCTACATGTATCATAGAAGCTGGCAGCCAAACAGGAAGAGAAAGTAAATTCCAAGAGTCTTAAGACTSTTTAACTACATTTAAACTTCTATGGAAAGCTATGAAGAATGCAGAAATAATCTTTTAACAAACCAAGTAATTTCACTTGAATGAAAAGGCTTAGGCTTCTACAGTTTCGCTACCTAATAGGTACGTTTTCTTCCAGGAATTCTGCTGCTGCATACCCAAAACATACCCACGCAAAAAGTTAGAAGAAGCTGATTTAATCTCCATACAAGTTCCTCACAACCACAGAAATGATCACCCAATTACTAAGAAAAGAGGATATATCACAAGTAGAATACATCTTACATAAAGAATTGCGGCTTTATGCTCAAACTTCTCTTCGTCTTGGGTCACAAGGGGAACATTCAAATTTTCATGACGTAAAGCAACTATATGAGCCATTGTAAATTCTAACATTTTAATTAAAAGTCAGGCATCTTTGAAGAGAACAAAAAACTCATAAAGACTCTTGCATTCATCCCTAGTAAGAACATGAATGAAGTTGCTTCTATACCAGCAACTTGATTTTACAAATTTCATTTGTTATAGCAAGCAGAAAAAAAAGCTTATTTTAAAAATTTTGATCAGAAGTACGCAAACCTGAAAGCATTTGCCTTAAAGTGAACGTAGCAAATATAGCATCTTCAAGTGATATATTAAAACACTTTTGATTTTCAAATGGAAATTGTCCATTGCAAAGATCATGCATTTTTAGTGTTTTCAGAGAAGAAAATTTATTGTGCACAGCCTTTTGTTTTTTAAACATAAATCAAAGAAACTCAAGGCATTCAGAGTAGTTACAGATGAAGAAAAAAAAATCAGATCCCTAAGAATTACAAAACACAAGCTACTAAGCAGGAAAAATCAGCAAATATCCAACTGGGGGATGGGTGAAGTTTCATTCTGTTAGAGCTTTGGCTTGAACTCCCCAGAAACAAGTTTTTTAAGCAGTTCTGAATTTCTTCCTTCTGGCGGGGGATGCCATTTGTTGTGATCTGAAAAGAACAAACAAAACAATGTACTTAGTTATGTAAAAAATAGACATTTTAGTGTCCTCCCATTGCGCCACTTTAATCACTTCATGGACACTATTCTGTAACCCATTTTTTACCTGGTATTTCTATGCTAGTTCTATATAAACTTTGGCCTCCATCCACGACCATCGTTATTCCAGTAATGTAAGAAGCAGCTGGAGATAGCAGGAAACACACTGCAGGAGAGATCTAACAAGGAAGGACAGTTTTCATCATTCTTAAATTGCTCGGAATCATTTGTGTCCAAGACACAGCTTGTAAGAACTGATACGGGCAAGAGAAAACATGTGCTACACAGTCAGCAAAGTCATGAACAATTTTAAAGCTCAGTTTCTAGCCACAGACATCAAGTACATAACAGCTGAAAAAGAGCAAACTTTTCAGCATCAGGTAGCTAAAACCAAAGTTGACCCATTTATCAAAGATGCATATTTTTGGTAGAAGACAGCTAAGAAATCTGAAATTACACTTCTTTCACATCCATTTTCAATACTTGCCAATTCTCCCTGCAATAGGTCAATCTCTTCAGGAACTAATGTCAACTACAGAACACTATAGCTGCAAGAAACATCTAAAATAAATTTTCAGTTTTACAGTAGCTACTTGTCAAGCCTCCCAGATGGCATTACTACACATTTCTGCAAGCTTTCTTTTGTTAGGACTCCATCACAGCTCAAAACTAAGTCTTTACTGTTCTTCATATACCAAAGCAGCTTCAAAACAGAAACAGAAGTAGAAATATCACAGATGTTGTGAAAGACATTACCTCCTCAGGAACTGCTGACCTCTTGGCAGGAATCTTTGGGATACTCTTTAACCACATTGCTGTACCTTGCTCTCCATAGTTTGCAACAGCAGTTTCTGAAAATACTATTCCCTTCATTAAAACAGAATACACAGAAAATTAAGGTATATTGCATGCATTCAAATTGTGATCCTTGTAAAATTGTCAAGTTAATACTAATGGGATTTTTGTGGTCTTAAACTGTCTAAACAGCACTCAAATGCAAGGTAAGTTGGATTAGATAATATTCTTTATAAAAAGAAGGTAACTTGACTGCTGTATTTAAGTAGTTATTTAGATTATTTCAAAGTCCTGTTTTGATTTCATTATTCCAATTCTCTACTATCACTTCAACAATTATGAAGCAGAGCCTACAAAGAACAAATCTRGAGTTATTCTAGAATTAAAAGCATTCCCAAGTAGTTTACAGTAGTARACTTCAAAAGCAAGGACAAAATTTTCATGAGTCTCTTGTAATTTTTAAAAGCAACAGAATAATTTTACTGARAGTTACAGAAGCAGCCAGACTCTGCAGCTGGATTTCAGATCTCCCTACTTTGCCACTAAGGAAATAAAGAAAGGAGACTGTCCTTGCCCTGATGATTGTACCATCCAGCTTAGATTCAAGAGAGATGAAGGCTACAGCAACAGGAAGATAAGAGTATCACAAATCAGTTACATCATAACCTGCAGGAGCCGAGAAATATGAGAAAATTTCATCCATACAGCACACATTAAGATTTTTTTCCTAAGATATCTGTGAAATGTGTGCAAATGTATTTTGAGAGCTAGGCAAGTAACTCATTTTTAAGCGTTATTTTCTTGGCATGTATGTGTCTGTCTCTACATACATGTTCCCTACACATTCCTCTATGCGTATTTTGCAGCAAGTGTTTTGTATGGTTACTGCAACCCTGATGAGGTTACAAGTTGAAAGAAAGATATGAAGTATCATCCTGGTTAGAATATAGATGTTTTGTCCCCAACAAGGTAACAAAGCTATCAAATATTCTTACAGAACATATGAATTTATGTATCATGCACCAATGAGAGTAGCACCAGTGATGGCAAGATGACACATACCAACCACAGTACAAGTGCTGAAAGCGCCAAACTACTGACCTGTTTGCTTGACAGAGTTTAATTTGACACATGCTATAAAGTATAATTAGTATGATTCATTAGGCCATTAGTATGCCTTAAAAAAAAAGCACACACATAGCGTGCTCTCCTAATTTGCTTATTTCCCCAAGACTTGATAAATTGGAAAAATGAACRAACAGAAAAACAAGTCGATAGATCTTAATATTTGACAGGTCTCAAGATAAGTTGGGCCTCAGGAAGCCTGCACAGAGCCATTACCTGAATGATCATCACACGTTTCCAATTAAAGCAAAGCAGTTGTTTTGGGACAGGATACAACAAAGGATACAGAATTCTATACAGAATTCTGCAGTACATCATAGGGACCAGATAATTAAACCTGACACTTACCATACTACATGATAATATAAATTCTGAAGTTAGAAATAATTGGACAACTCTGCTTTTCCATTTTGTTGTCATCAAAATAATCACGAATAAATTGTGCTTAAGAGCAAAGAATAAATCACAATAGACGGAATCTCTAACTTCAAAGCTAGGACTAAAGCCACTGTAGCCACAGCACTATGTGCTATGAAAATACAGCTGGTCTTTCTAGTACAGGCTCTAGATTTTTAAATGCTTTTTGCTCTAGACTTCTTAATCCTGAGCACATACGATGGCTAATGTTACCTGTCACTTGCCGTTGCTTACCGGGGCCACGCTGTTGATCCGCACTCCGCTGGGGGCCCACTCTAAAGCTAACGTCTTGGTGAGGTTATTCACAGCAGCTCTGGCAGCTCCTGAATGCCTATCAAGAAAATAAAGCAAAAAAAGCATCTGTTCCCCAGATAAGCCCAGTCTCCATCCTACTGCAGCCTTGCTGGGACAATCACAGTAGTGCTCTATTGCTAGACTAACCATAGGAGATGCAGAGGGGTTTTCTAGTTCACAAGCTCGGCCAGAGCTTCACAGTTCTGATGAATTATGCGAAGACTTCCTGTCATTTCTGCTAATATCCATTGTCTCTCCCCAAACATATTTGGTGGTGAGGAGGCCTGATGTAATTAACTGCCCAAGCAGGCAGACAGAATGAAAAATAACCAGGGATAGACTTGCAGGTGTGTGAGATTATGAAAGATAAACAGCACAGGTAAAGCAGTTTAYAACCCTGTGAGAGCAGTAGCCTGAAAGAGCTATTCTGACACATGTGTTTAAAATCGGCTAAAGTTCAAAAATTGCTACAGATGGGAAACCAGACACAAAGGCACATGGATCTYGGGCACCTTGCTGCTCCAGGACACCACTACACGCTTGAACAAATACAGACAAAATTACTGCAAAGATGAGTAACAGGCAGTGGGACTCAGAGAAGATTAAGTTTAGCTTTTTTAGTCTAGCAAAACACACAGAAGAGAGGCAGGAAGTTCTCAAACATGATGATATGTACACCAGGAAAGGGGTTTTTTTCTGATTGAGGAATAAGAAAACCTGGATTATTCATCTGATTGATCCTGGATTATTCATTGATCCGACTTATTCATTTGATTAGGATAGAAATTAATGACCACCTGACACAACATGAGTAAACAAACTTGAGCAGTTTTAGGTTGAAAATTGTTATTTATGAAAGAATGAAGTAGGTGATTTTTGGCATGAGTAGTGACTGGACTTTTGAAAGAATACTATACCATTAAACTCTGAAACAAGCATCATTTTCTACAGGAACTCAATCTGAAAGTAATTTTGTCTACCCATAAACAAAAGCATACCACAGTTATTTGGGAAAAATTATCTCTGTTGTTACTCAGAACTGTGTTCTTTATTTYTTGGTGCATCAACCTGTTCACATTCAGAGTTCAGCTAGATTTACCTACAGCAGCAAGACTAAAACAACTGTAKCTTCAGCACCACCCTGTGGCTCCCCAAATTTATCTTGCACTGCCAAGAATAAACTAGTGACAAAACAGGCTTTTCTTAAGAAATGGACATTTTTTTTTTAAATTTCAGGCCAAATTAAGAAGGAGATAGGTAGGACAACATTTGTTCAAAATGCATTTTTGTTTTTTTAATTTCTGTTTAAGAAAGTAAAAAGTAAAAAAACAGTTTCCAAGAAAAAATGATTTTTTTCAATTAGGAAACTGTCAAAATACAGCATTTTTCTATGTTTCTTATGCAAAGAAAATAACTGGAACCATTTTCTAAACATTATTTCTCTTTCAACACTGACACTTCTGAGTGTCACTTACAAACACTTACAAACAAAAGTTTCCCTATCAACTCCATTTTGAGGATTACATTTGAACAAATGTAGTAAATGTCTAGATAGGGAGAGGGTGCTGTATTGGCATGCAGAAAGCCTTGATCATTTTTGCCTCCTCCTCCCAAAAACAGAAACTTCAAACACAGGGTAGCATGTCTGAACCCTTGAGCCTTTTCCCAGTCAAGAAAGAGGCAGAGCGAATGGAATTGACTGTCTACAGCAAGAAAAGGTGGCCACAAAGGGGAGGTGAAAAGCAAAAATCAAATAGGCAGGCAAAGCCACAACCCAACAGCTTGTTAGGAACSTTCCTCCTACACTCGGTCCAAGTCTCACCATCAAGACCTGCAAATTGACGGCAGAGGAGCAGAGCAACAGAGGCCAAGTGCCTGCAAACCCTCCAGAGACTTGCAGAGAAATCAGGCCAAAGCTGCACTTGCACGCACATACTTCCCACTCACAGTACAGCTTCGCTGCAAAGGTTTTGCTTCCTATTTTCTTACAAACTAGCTGGCAGAGACCAGACATTTAATTTACTCTTGCAGTCTCTATTGAATCAATAAGAGATCCCCACACAGACAGCCAAGTTGCTCTCTTAACATATCTGCTATATATCTATACTCTGTTGTCGCCCAATGAACATCTTGCCAGAAGAAAATGAAGTAATTAGAAGCAATTAGAACTTCTAGAAGGAAAATATATGAAAATGTAAAAAGAATATTACGACATTCCAGGAAACCCATTTCTCACGGCAGCAGTAATGTTGACAATGACTCCTCCATGTTTCTGCATCCAGGCATTGTATGCTGTATGAAGGAGGAAGATAATCTATAAATATTAGAAGAAATATATATGAATGAAATTGCCCACTGGAAGCCAAATTTGGAGTCTTAACCCAATTGTGCTGCAAGTTGTGCAGATTTGGACGAACAACCTGATCTTTGCACCGCAGCCCAAGCTCTGGACTGCTAAGAAAGCAGACACAGTTCAGGTAAGACTCAGTGTATGTAAAGAAGATTGGGACAGAAATCAAAATTTTGTGCCCTCCATGTAAGCTGCTTTCATTTCCATTTTCCTAATGCTGAGAACTGGACAACAAATTTAACTCCACAGCCTTGATATAAAAGTCTTCCCTTGCGCTACACATAGGGGCTGCAAGACAGAGTTGAGTGTTTTTTCCATCATCTTTTCAGTCAACATCCAAACCAACTGACTCCCCAAACCTGGCCTTAACTAGAAGGTCATTCCTCCATAGTGGTACATGTGTGCTTGTGTATATTAACAAATATAATGTATAGTTTACTGTATAACTTAGCATGTGATTCAGGACAACACTGTCAGATAAAAATGTGAAAAACAAAGTGAAGAAATTTTTACAGAAATACTAGAGAGACAAGAAATATAGATACATATAAATAAAGAAACTCCTCTTCATTATGTTTATTCCCCACCTGCTTTGCAGCAGTAGAAGGTTCCTGTCAGGTTAGTGTCTATCACAGCRTTCCAGCCTTTCGCACGGATGTCTTCAGCAGGGCTCGAGAACTGCCCCCCTCCGTTGTTCACAAGGAAGTCAATCTTCCCATGCAGATCAAGTGTAGACTTCACCAAAGCTTCTACCTAGGACATAYATATACACAGTTTTTTAAGCGTGGCATGCTGAGTAAGTGATGTACCCTGTTTCGTTCTTGGATGAAGTCTTCTCACTCCAATCCTTTTCACACTTAGGGAGGGCCTTCAGAGAGGCTGGACAGCCGTTTTCTAGGCTGGAACTCAGTGTGACAGGTTTCATCAACCAAAAAGAACTGGGCTGAGTCCTTGTTCACTTAATAAATCTTCCTGGTATAATGCAAGTGCTACACAAAACATCAGCATTGAAATAAGAGGGAGATCTATGCTCTGAGAGCTGAGGTGGCCTAGGGGAAGGATCCTGTTTAAAAGTCCTTGTATTTTCCACAGGAGCAGAGATGTTCACATCAGATGTTAGAAGAGATTCCTATTAGGTAAGTACTGTTTTATGGGTTTTTTTTTTTTTTTTTTTTTTTGATCCTCTCCACTCAATCTCTTAACTTTCTAATAACGTTAAGAAGCTGAAATGACAGTATTCACACCAAGAGAAAAGGGTCAAATGTCCAGATAAATCCAAGGTGACCCATGACTGCTAGGAAAACTCAGTAGGCAAGCTACTCTGTACTGAGTGTTTGCTATTCAGAGACCATTCCTGCATAGTGATATGAGGTATTTTTACTCTGTGCTACTGCTGAATTATTTTGAAATAAGCCAATAGGAGTCCGTAATCCACAGCGCTCCATCAAGCCACTCTCACTACAGGTTTCACACAGACAGGCATTAAGAATTTATACACTAGCAGAGACTATGATAAGCTGTAAAGCTTACTGGAAAATAAAAGCCTGTAGTGGACTCAGAGGCAAGTGTCAGTGCTAAATATCATTGTATTAAGTGCTTCTCAAGGAATCTTGTTTATCAGATGTTCAAATGGTAAGTTTTAGCCTCAGGGYCTCCTTCAGCAGTAGCTGTCACTGGTACTGAAGTGCAGAAAAGGGACCCTGTGATGAGAATTCTAATTTTTTTGTTTGATTTCAGGAAGACCAGCAGCCTACTAGAAGTACAAGTCTTTCTATTTCATCTCTATGTGAGTTAAAGAAAGGTCTCTCCAGGGCATATAGCCTGGAGGTAGACGTACCTTTCTTTTCCCCACTGGACGGTTTCTGTAGCTCAACATKTAAGGCACTTGTACATATTCCCCTTCCCAACACCCAAACTTTTAAGCAAAAAGTTCCTTCCACAATTTAAAAAGGATGTGATTTCTCTCCTCTGCTTTGGCAGTGTTTACACTGATGCACCAGAATTAACTTATTAGACCCTTGGATTTGGGGGGAAAGCTTGGTTTGACAAGAGCCGCATACATTCACAGACTGCCTGCATCTCAGAAGAAACAATTCGACATGCTCTTCTGGTATCCAACATGTTATGTGTGATAGTGCTGGACAATATTCAAATAATTAGAATTGCTGCTGCTTCCTAATCACTCGGAAGCACAYGGACCACTGCATTCATTCCAGAAGCAGAGAAGGGAAATGCACAAGCATTGCTTAGGAGGTGGTCAGAGGACAACAAGCTCAGGTGCTCTTTGGAGAACAGATTCTGTCTTTAAAGATTAAACTGACCTTCTATCCTTTCCAAAATACTCATTGGAAARCTACCCAAAACAAGAAGCTGCAGGCTGTTTTTGACAGAAATAAGCCTGATAGGTTATGCAGTGGCTGAAAATCCTCCATCAAGCAAACAGGATTATTTCTTGCATGGCAATGAGAAGAAAGCTTTTGCTAGAAAGCAAGAGAGCCTCTGAGGATAAAGAAACTTTAAAATCTGAATTCATTAAGCTATTCCCATGATATCTACCAGGAAGGTTCTGCAGGAATAATATTCAGTACACCCTTTTTGCTCTTCACAATCTAGAAAGAACTCTTACAGCCACGTATGCTCTATATGGAGAGAGATGTATCTTTTAATGCTTCAATTTCACAGATCCAACTAGTGCCTCCAAAAAAAAAAAAGTCATCTTCAAAGCAGGTGAGTTACTTCAAGATTCAGAACAGGATGCAAAAGAGTCTTCTCAAAATTCTGAAAGCACTTTCATCTTTCTTAGATCCTCTCTATTCAAAGTTTTCCCCTCAAGTTTGTCCCATTATACAAATAAAACCAGGATGACATTCGTAAGAGCTGTTAGAGAAATGAAGAAGAGGTGATGGAGATGGAGGGAAGAGGAAAAAAAGGCCTGACACAGTGAGAACAGGTGGCTGTTCCTATAGGCGATTAGCCTGGCATTATTTAATGGGAAGATTTRCTCTTCCAGAGGTTTAAATGAGCTGTAAAAAGGATATGCTAATTAAATTTCAAGAATCTTCTTAGGCTTTATTATCTTGTAATGCATCAGTTTGGACRTCTAAGGAGGCTTAAACTCCAGGGTTTTCTTCCACTGTTGACATTTAGAAGGACTCTTTCACCCTCACACATCCTTTGGTACTCAGTATAAGAGCTGAAAAAGAGGATATGATGAAAACTCAAAGGGGGCACTTGTAGGGTATGTTCCCTAACACRATGTACTTTCCTGAGGTAACTACTCTTCAGTCATACCATACTGAAACCAGCCAGCGAGTTTAAAGTTCTGTTCACTTAACTGTTAAATTAAGTTTATGTAGCTTCAATTTGCAAACACTGAGCACCTAAGCATTAAAAAGGACTACCTTCACTAAAAATGTGAAAATTGAAAATGAGTTCCACATATTTCTGGTGAAATAGTATTTTTAGAAAGTAAGTATCAATTGGCCAGAATTTAGCAATCTTCAAGAATGTCAGTACTAAAGAACAAACGAAGATGAAGCCAGAAGGACAAGAGGTAAAGAACAAAGTTCCCAGATTGTGTCTACCAGTAATGACATCTGCTCTTGGAGATGGGCATCTGGAATGGACAACATTCCTTTTGTGGCACACTTATGTTCTTACAGAAATAATGGAATTACAGGAGAGACACCTGCTTTCTCCGAGTATCAGTTTGGCTACCCATAAAATGCATAATGTTTGAACACTTTACAAAGATCTATAATTTTCTCTTCCAAAAAAAAGCTCTAGAAGTTTTCAAATGTTAAAGCTGTTTTGCCAAATCCATGCTTGAGACCTTAAATAAACAGATGGCAAAGAAGGAAGTAGTTTGTCATCTAAGCCCTCTGCCATTTCACAGAACACTGCAGTTCCCACTATCTTGTTTTTAAGATGAATGTAAAAATAGGATTCACCTGCAGGAGGTTATTAAGAATGCCAGAGCACTCTGTGCAACGCAGGCAGGCAGGAAGGCTCTTCCACCTCTTTTTCTTTTTCTTTCATGTATTTTTAATCACTTAAGTTGCCCTCTGACACCTGTCATAAGCTATTACTTTGCACTGCTGATGCTGGTAAATGCAATCCTAAAATGCACTGGTAGGTGAAGTGACATACTGCACAGCCCCAAGGTTCATCTCTTTCAGGAGAGAAAGTCTAAAAATATCCTTGTAAATATATTATGAGCTGTTCTACAAGGAAAGAGTTTAATTTTTGTTTGCTCTATGGTAGTAAATTAGGTTAGGATTTGAGTTCACAGCTCCTGAAGGTCACTAATGTTCTGTTAAGTTTTGCTAGATTTTAAGAGCCTTTGAAAAGTTAAGCAAAAGGTAGCAAGCAGTGAACAGCGGAATGTTTCYTAGTAGTACTGAGTAACTTAAAAGTCCAACCTGAAACTGCATTTTTAACTGTTTAATTAAGCAGCTAAAGAAAACAGGATACTGTGCTATGATTTCGCACAGAACCATGCAAAGGGCTCAGGCTCAGCCCTAGAACACACCAGTACTAAGTACTACTTCTCCAAGCAATTGTCATTAATACTTTATGCCCAGCCATAGCTATTTTGGTGATAAATACTTTTTTTGCTTAGGTGGCTAACAAATGGGCTTTCCTCTCGGAAGTAAATCTTAACTTTACCTGCATCCACTTAGAAGCACCCCACTGCATCTGTCTCCTGATCCAAAACACTCCCGAGAAGGCCAGACCTCTGCAGATCTGAGAATGTGCATTCACTATACCTTTTTGACATGTTAAACACTTTACCTCCTCTTCTTTGCGGATGTTGCACTGTATAGGAGTCACTTTGGCAGGACTCATGGCAGCAAATTCATTATTCAGTTCCTCTGCTGTGGCTTTTAATCGGTCAAATTTGCGAGAGGCAATAACAACATTGCAACCTGTTAAAACAAAATGAAAAATCCCTTAGTTAACGAATATTCAACATTACAGTTACACTAGGTTTTTAATAACATCATGGAGATACCTTGCAGGATGTGTGTTTATTAGTCACTGCCTAGAAGATGCAGTGATGAAGTGCTTGCAAGAGAGAGAAAAATTACGTATGTCAGGAGCTTCTTAGCAACTAGGTCCCTCTGTGCTAGGAGAAGAGCAATTGAAATAAAATGTCTCCAAGGTTCTTTCTCCTTCCTGCAGGAGAGAAGAGTCTGCCTGTGAGCTGCAGAGTTAGCAGAGCAGCTTTCACACACAGTTTTTGCTGCCTCTGCCCAAGACTGCTACATTTATCAACCATGTGATTTAAAGATGTTTTAGCAGGTCTTGATTACAAAAAGCACTTGCYCCTCAAACCACCAAAATCAGCTTACAAGACAAGCTTACTGTAACGCAGGCTGTAAATCTGCCTAGTGGTGAGCAAACGAAATGCTCTCCCCTCCTTCACCCCACAGAGCCTGAAGGACAGGACGGCAGCCTTAGGGGGTGAACTCGGATCTGCAAAACACCCTCAGGTGCAGCCACTTCCCCACGCCACCTCCATGGGCTTCTTCATGGACTAAAACACACCACACCAAAGTCATTCCTGTGCAAAGCCACTAGACATTTCAAACACCTATTGCAAAGGTATTTCAAATCACAGATGGCAAAGGTATTTCAAATCACAGATGTGCAAATTAATAGGTTGCCACTGTCTAGGGAAGGGAGGGAAGTCTTGCTTCCCCTTCTTCCTTCCCTGGGCATCCCAACACAAGGCATTCCTTCCTCATATCAGCTTAGCACTCATCAGTTTAAACAGAAACTAAATGAAAGCACTGAAGAGCGCCCCCCCCCCCCCAAAAAAAAAAAAAAAAAAGAAAAAACACACACAACTTTTGCCAGGTGTTTTTTTCTGTTGCTATTTTACTGGGTGGAATTTGGCCTCCCATGCGATAAAACAAACACCAGAAGTAATACAAAATAACTAGTAGGAGTAAAGAGCAGCAGCAAGCTGTTCAATTGGCTCATGTTGTCTTGTGGAAGCATACATAGAACTAAAAAGAGAAGCTAAATTTCTTTCAGAAAATACTGCAACTATACACACACCTAGGAAGGGCTGCCCCAGCCAGCGAGCCCTCTAAAACAGCACACATATAGATGTTGACTAACAGATGTTAACTTTAAGAATGCCAGTTGCTTACATAACAGCCTGGCTGATCTAGAGTAAAGTTCACACAACAGGACACACACTACCACTGATTAACGAGAAATACTAATCAGAGCAACACAGCGGTATTCGTCAGGTTAAGCGCTTATTAGTACATGCACTGACACAGAGTAAGGCCCATGGAAGAAKCTGCTTTCATTAAACGGGCTAATTTGGGATTCTAGCTCACGGAGGCAGGCTTGATGCCTCCTGCACAAAGCGTTGCCACTTAGTCCTTATTTCCTCACAAAGGAGAGGCTGGCCAGGAAAGCGAATTTTGCCATAATTGGCGTTATTTGGGCCACTCCTAAAGGTGCTGCAAGCAGAGGGCCCTGCACAAGGTGCATGTGGAAATGATGCCAGGAGGGCTCCTTGTCAGGCACAGCCACAAAATCTACTTCATAGGGAACTACTTTGCAAAGATTTAGGATACAGTCCCTTTCTTCATTTTCCCACATGCTTCGCAGAGATTTTTAGACGTGCTTTCTATTCAGCATGTTATGAAAAAAACCTGCTACTTRTATCTTACTTGGGCACAATAACACAGCTGGGCGCAGCTTTACCATAGCTGGGTTACATCACTGACCAAAACCATGAGGACACTTGGGCACCTTCCCAAGGTTCTCCTTTAATGCAAGCCCTTGTTCCCCAGGCGCCCCAGGACGGGGAGCCAGCCCGTTTGGGCTGCACGGAGCGCACGGAGAGCGGGAAGGAGCAGCGGCCCCAGCAGCACACGGCTGCACGCTTGAYGTGGACACAGACATGACGATGGATGCTATGAGGGATCAAGATGCCCACGCTTCCTGGGATCCACTCTACAAGTGGCAGGAAAGGTGCTGCAAGGCAGCCTGGCCGGAGGTTTCCAAGGCTGCTTTTCCCTCCCCAGTTAAAGGCTGATTAAGAATAGTGATTAATAGAGCCCATAAGGTGACCTGCTAGAGGAGTGCTTCAACTCCAAGGCATTGCTGTCACAACTATCAACAGCCCAGCACCTTTCTCCAAGACTAACRGACAGGCGGCAGTTCACAGCCTGCTGCTTCAGGCGGCCTCGGTGGAACAGCACCAGAAAATCAGGCAACGAGGCCGGACGGACAACACGACCGAGCGCCACAAAACCTGCCCAGGTTGGACACAGCCCCGCTGTGGACGCTACGGTAACAGCGGGCACGTTGCGGCACATCCGCACGCCGGGCCCCCCCGCCCCGCGCTGCCCCCCGGTGCCGCTGGCCGCGGCGGGGGAACTCGGAGCCGCCGCGGCGCCCCGCGTGCCCCGGCACCCCCGGCACCCCCGTCCTCCCGGCCCCGCGCGCACCGAGCGCCAGCAGGTCGGCGGCGATGGCCCTGCCGATGCCGGTGCCGCCGCCCGTGACGATGGCCACGCGCCCGCGG